TTCCGAAACTTCTGTTGTTGTTGCTGCCGCTATTATTTGTTGAAATGTGCCACAAACCCATTAACGAAAGGTTACTCGCATATTTCACTCTCAACGCTTATCGCTGTTGCTCTTGGTGGTGCTGGTCCTGGTCATTAGAGCTGTTACGATTGTTGGCCATTGGACGCAAACGACATAACAACCAACATTCAATGTTGCACACACATAACGAGCAACATGCCAATGTTGTTAGTGAAACCATTTTAATTGTGGCAATTGTTTTGTTGCACATTATGTGCCAGTGAACGTGAGTGTCGATGTGTGTGTGGATTACTTATCGTCATAACATTTCTGGCACTTGCAGCGTCGTGGCTCATTTAAAACTTCCACATTTTTTTGCGATTTCCCCGCAAATGATTTAATTTCTTTTGGCATTTTTTCGTGTAACCACCAGTAGACCTTTGCTGTTTCAGTTTCAAATGGTGTGGTGGTTGGGAATTTGTTGTAGCGTTTTATGTTTTTATTTCTGCCACACACCATAGGTGTTCCGCATTGATTTACAAAAATAATTCGTTTTGTTGGCTTTGCTTTTCATTAACACAGGAGGCGATGTTGTTTGGCCTCGAATCATTAAAAACATTTTGTAGCTTCCTTCATGGGTAATTAAGTTTATTACGCGAGGGGTGGGGAGATGAGGTGTGTAGGAGAGCTATTAATTTCATGAATATTTATTTTTAATTGAATTAAGTTAGTAGTATTTAAAATAATAACAATTTATTTGGTTACAAGGTGGCGATAAGCTGGATAAAATGTTTATAGTTAAGTGGTAGTGTTAACAAGATAATTTGGATTAAAATTTGGGACGATATATTAAAAAAAAATATTTTTTTTTTCGAGGACCTAAACAAGGCGTGAATTAAAAAAATACATATTTTTCAAGGACCGAGGCAATGATTTATCAAAAATATTTTTTTAAGGGACCTCATAAAGACGATGCCTTGTTGACCATGAAGTCAGACGCCAACGAAATGAACTTCTCATTGAGGTCGTATCGCTGGTAACGTAAGAACTTCGAATTGTCACAAGATACATTTGGGTATGAAATGTTTTTTGGATAGAAGCTATAATAGCTTCTGGAGATAATATCCCAATAAAAAAAACTAAGGGAACTGATGGGAATCAGTGGCGTGATCCGAAACTATAGTCTTCCATTCCTTACCCCTGCCATACATTCCCCACTAATAAATAGTTGTTTTTTATAAAAACAAGAAACTGGGATTCAGCCTGACTATTTTGCAAAAAATACATTTTCTAAGGACCCAACAAATTTTGTTCTCCCTTTTTTAGTTGCAAAAGTTTCAAGAACAACAAACGCGGTGAACTTTGTCGCATACCCGGCTGCACAGTGCTGCCAGCAACGCCGGGTTCACCAACATCGGTACGCCTGCCACATGTACACCCGGAAGTGTTTCGTCAATTTATACTCTATGTTTATACAGCTAAGGTAAAGTATTATTATATTAATAATAATGAAATAATAAATAATCCCTAATTTCTCCCTTTTTGCCTTACAGATTTTATTGCAAGATTCTCGTGTCTTTGAGATGATGACATTGGCTCAGGATATGGGCTGTTGTGAATTACGTTCCGCGTGTGAAGATCATGTCATAGCAACACTGTCGGTGGATAATGCTTGTACTTTTCTGACAGCTGTTATGGAAATTCATGAGAAGGCGGGTGAGTAAAGGTTAAATTTACATCCATTATATCAGCTATTTATATTGCTCCCTGAAGGAATGAGCAAAAAATGTATTGTAGCGACATCTATTGTATTTGTGAACAAAATATTCTATTTAGTGAAAAGCACCACCACTACCATACAGCTGACAATTCACAATAACATACTAGTACAGATTTAAACCATAAGCAGGCACATTAATATTGAACATAGCTCAAACAATTCTGGCATACACTGAACATGCACCATATCTTAAACTGAACATACGTTATGTTATATTAAGGATGTTCAGTTAATACAGTATCGTATATTCAGTGTTAGATTACACTGAACAGATTACACTGGTGGTTCAGCGAATGTGCTAGATTTCAGTGGTACTTTAAAAATGGATATTTATAACGGGTGTCCGAATTAGAACACAATTTTGAAAATTGAAATAAAACACAAATATTAAAAAAATCGTAAAACATTATTATATCGTAAAGTAGACAGAATGAGGTTATGTATCGAACAAGATTGCCGCTGCAGCTTTTCTGGCACATAAGCGATCTATCAATGAAATGTTCAACTACTTTTTGAATAAATGCTTCAGTATTTTATTAATGCAGCGATCAATTTCCTTTTTTCTAAGGCTTGAGACGTCAAGGGCGGCTTATTCACCTAAACCATCAACATTAAAAAAAAATCCCCCCAAAAGAAATATACTAAAGTTGTTAAACAGCACGACCTAGGCGGTCTGGTCTCCAAAACTCGAAATAACACGACCGGGAAATGACTGCTGCAGCAATTGTATTGTTTCTCTGTCTGTATGGCATGTGGCGTCGTACATTGAAAATATTCTGCCAAGAGGTTACAGGGACTTCGGTTTGGAAACTTCGACTAGACCTTCAAAATATCAAAAATGTTCCGATTTAAGTGGATCAAAATTCCAAAAAAACAATCTATCATGAAAATTGTACTAGAAACACCGAAATGTCATATCACTACCACATATTTTGGAGAATTTGGGACCACAAGATATTTCAGACTAGGCTGCATTTCTGAGAGGATCAAAAGAATAGAATAGAAACGATTTTCACTTCTGAGAGGAAGAATTCCAATTGACATGGACTTTGTTTTTGGCAAAATTCGAATAGGATTTTCAAAAATGACCAAGACATTTATGTTGACGGCATGTCATAAAAATTAACAAATATTAGGAGGTATTTTATTGTCAAAAAAAATCGAAGTGGCGCACACGATGAAAAGTGCGGCTAGGGCCTTAAAAAATAAAAATGCGGGATGTAAGCATGGAATGGTATAGAAGATTTTTTTCGAAGAAATCTGCTACCTTGCGTTGACCCAAAATTCCAAATATGCGGAGCTATACCAAAGCAACTGATTCTATTTTGAACACAGAAAAAATATATTTTAAATTTTCTCGGAAGAATTTTTTCTTCAATGCAAAGTTATAGTCTCATCGGCAGGTAAATGTGCTACAATTTGCAATGACAAAACATGGGCCTGCAGTGCTTATTTTTTACGCAGATGTATGTCAGCCTCCATAAGCCCCGAAATGTCAAATTAAAGCTCTTATGTTTGGAAAATGCTGCAAAATTGGGCGGAACCTTTATACGGGAGATGTAATAAAACGTTCACCTATGGGGATCATTTTTTTGCGCAGATGTATACCATCCTCAAAAACCTCGGTATAACAAATTATAGCCCTTTTGGTTAGAAAATGAGGCTGCAAGATTTAAAATATCGAAAAAAATTCAAAATATCGGTATATTTATATGGGAGCTATGTCAGAACATTAACCTATAAAGATAATTTTCGGCACAAATGTAGAAGAAGCTTCAAAATGCCGTTTCGGTTGGTAAATGTGGCTGCAAGTCTCAAAACACCGCGTAAAGAGCACAAACTTTATATGGAGGCTATGTCAAATCATGGTTCTATAGGTCTAATTTTCTGTGCAGATGCATGTCAGCTTTCAAAACCCCGAAATGCCAAAGTACAGCCTTTTCGCTTGGAAAATGGGGATAAGACCCTCAAAATACCGGATATTGGGTGGGACTCTTATATCGGACCTATGTCAGAACATAATTTTGGTATATCAGCCTCCAAAAACCCAAGATGGCAAATTACAGCATTTTCAGTTGGAAAATGTGGATAATATCCTCAAAATACCGAAAATGGTTCGGAACCGTTATATGGGAGCTACACCAAAACATAAACCGATTTAGTTAATTTTTGGTAGGAAGATTTGATACCCCATGAGAACCTTAAAAATCAGATTACAGCCAATTTATTTGGAAAACGTGCCAAAACCTCTCAAAAATCTCAAATTATAAGAACACCCTAATATGCGAGTACTTGGTCAAATATTGATAATTTTTGGTATGGATATTTTCTACTCAATTTGAATCCAAATTACTAAATTTCAGCCAATTTGTCGAAAACACGAGGCCAAACTCCTCAAAAATTCCGGAATTTGGGATGTAGCTTTATATGGGGACAACCCAAAAAGTGGCCCAATATTTACAATTTTTAGTAAGAAGATGTATTATAATATGAGAACCCAAAATATCCGATTACAGACAATTTAGTTTACCACATGACAACCCAAAATACAAAACATACAGCTGATTAGTTTAAAAAACGCATCCAAGTCCCTCAAAATGCCTAATAATGGGAAGAGCTACCCGGAAGATTTTATACTCAATGGTAATTCAAAAGCTAATTTGGTTGAAAAACGTGCCCAAACTCCTCAAAATACCGAAATTTTAGATATAGTGTTACATGGGGACTACCCGCATATGTGGACCAATATTTATAATTTTTATTGACAAGATGTATTGCCCTATGAGAACCCAAAATACCAAATTACATGCAATTCAGTTGAAAAATGACAGAAATTCTCAAAATACCGAATATTTGGATAGTACCGTCATATGCGGACTACCCCAAAAAGTAGACCAATATTAATAATTTATAGTAGGTAGATGTGTTACCATATGAGTACCCAATATTCCAAAAAAACAGATAATTATGTTGAAAAACGTGTCCAAGCCCCGCAAAATACCGAATATTTTGCCAGACCAATTGACAAATTCCTACAACAAATAAATTTTGTTGTTGAACTTCATTTAAATGCCGTGTGAACTACCTTAATTGAACACTTCAGCCGTTGTTATACGCCGCCGTTGATTTCACTACCGCCATTGTGCTCCATAAATCGACTGACAAATCCCTAGACGCCGGCCTCAATACGTTTGTCAGTCACGGAAAGGAAAAATAATAAAAAATTAACACAATTTTGCTGATATCGTTCCCGAAAAGTCTGCAAAACAACTGCCGCCAAAATGTCCTTCAAAGGCAACACCAAAGTACAAAAGGTGATGGTCCAGCCCATCAATTTGATTTTTCGTTATTTACAAAATCGTTCCCGCGTTCAAGTGTGGCTGTATGAAAATGTCAATCTCCGTATCGAGGGACACATCGTGGGCTTTGATGAATACATGAATTTGGTGTTGGACGATGCCGAAGAGGTTTGGACGAAGACAAGAACGCGCAAAAATTTGGGACGCATTATGCTGAAGGGTGACAATATTACGCTGATACAGAATGTTAGCCCCTCAAAAGATTGAGGTTAAGTCTCGAGCTGGAACAATAAACAAAAAAACAACAGGGGGAGAAGTCGTGACACCAGAAGCAGAGTAACAAAAGCAAGAATGATCCACAATGTATCCCATTGGATCATGGGTGTTTAACTTTCGTATCCCCTGTAATCAACTAGTATAAGTTTGTATAATTTATATAAACAAAAAGTAATTTTTTGTCTCCCTCCTAAGATTCCTTATAAATTTTCCATTTTTTGTTTTCCTATAGACAAGACTTAAACCACGAAATAAATTCTATACAGATTTTGAGATTCTGTAGCAAATACAAAATCGCTATGAAGTATCTGCAAAAGCATTTATACCTCAAATTTTATAAGACAAAACCAAGAAAACGAAAAAACTATGAAAATAAATATTTGGATTTTAAATGGAAAAATGACGAAGTGAGTATTTTGAATGTTGTGGATATGATCGTATATTTTGCCGATAAGGAATGGTTGGAATAGAAAAAGTTACACTCCAAAAGTTTAAAGAGAATAAGCGTTAACAAGATTCAGTGAATTAAGTACATTATAAAATCACATAGTGGAATATTTATTCATCGGATATAACAATTGTCTTTCTCGTAATTTCAGGATTTGAAAAGGAAGTTTTGAACTGAATTTCTTTTAAATCATATTTATACTAATAAAAAAGAGTAAATTGACTGACTGATTCACTGAATTACTTAACGATCCATTAACGCCCAGACGAAACGGCTGGAGCTAGAATTTTGAAATTTTGGGTGAGGGTCGCTCTGGGTCCAAAGGGGTCAGATAAGTCTGGGTGTTTGGACATTCGCACTAGAAGGCACGAAAATTACTAAATGTGGTACAATTTGTATTTGGCGAACGGGTGCAGTTAGAACTCTGAAATTTGAATTGAGGGTCATTGATGATGTATAGAATAGATATAACAAAGGGTTTTTTGGACATTCGAACTATAAGTATCCAAAAAGTACTAAAATGTACTAAGGTTGGTACAATTTCGTATGATGAGAATGGATGGAGCTAAAAACTTGAAATTTGAAATGCAAATAAAGATTAAGATTATTGTTGGGGGATAGAATTGAGGTATTTAAGAAGGTTTTGGAAATTCCTACTAATGTGAACTAAATGTTGTACAATTTAAATTTCGGCTGAACCGATGTATGAAGTTTTGGAAATTTGTACTAAATGGTAGCAAATGTGGCTTTGGCTGAACCGATTGAGCTGTAATCTTGAAATTTTGCGTTAGGATCACTGTTGGGGTGTATGATTGGGATTTGTAGAAAAGTTTTGGAAATTCATACTAAGGTGTACCAAATTTGGTACAATTTAAATTTTTGGTGAACCTATAAAGCTGCAAAACATTGAAATTTGTAAATAAGGTTAATGTTGGAGTATAGTTTTGGAAATTCATAATTATGGGTACTAATTTTGTTGCAATTTAAATTTTGAGTGAACTGATAGAGCTGGGATCCTGAAATTTGGAGTTGGGATGATTGTTGAGGTGCAGGATGTGGGTTTTGTAGAAAGTTTTGAAAATTCGTACTAATGTGCACTAAATGGTACCAAATGGTGGTTATGATCACTGTTGGTTGTGGCCCCGGAATGAAATATTTTCACAGTAAATTTATGTTTGCAGCAGCGATTTTTTTATTTTGTAGGTGTGTAGGGTGAACATAGGTACTAAATGGTTCTAATATTTTAATAATTATCGGAATTAGGTTTTAAATACTTCCCACATTCGCTAACGAAGTAGTGGGTATATGCTAGTAATATAATAAAAAAATATATGATTTTTTAAGAACCTGTGCTGATTTAATGTAGAAGGATATTAGGCAGATTCAGGAAACGCAACTATTATCGAACGATGTATTACATTTTTAACGAAATTTTAAAAGGTTTTGGAGGAAAATACTTGCTGTATTATACACTATTTTTTTCAATATTGCCTAAAAAGTAGATAATCGAAAATTAACCTTATTTGTTCTTTATTTCATATTTTATTGAATCATTTTTTATACCCTTCACCACACTGTGGTACAGGGTATAAGGTCTTTGTGCATATGTTTGTAACAGGCAAAAGGAAACGAGATAGACCCGCGGTTCCTTTTGAGAATATGCATAGAATTACTTTCTACGTCGATTTATGCATGTCCGTCCGTCCGTCTGTTGGTGTTAAATTGTAAACAAAGTAAATGGTGCACCACAGTCCCTATACATCTTTCGATTTGCACGAAATTTGATACGGCGTGCTGAATTCCATCTAGAATGATGTGTGCTAAGTTTTGTGAAAATCGGTTCTAATTTAGATATAGCTCCCATATGTCTTTTCTTCCGATTTTATGTAAATTGTGCACTAAAGACACAAAATCCGATGTCGGCGGAGGAACGCGTTTTACCTGAAAATGTACCATCTGACGAAACAGGAGATACCCGAAAATCTAAGGGATACAACCAAAAATCGTCAGAAGGATCTTTTCCAGAGGAATCATTTGAAAATTGGGTAACCCAAAATTTATCGAACCATCTGTTACAAGAGCACAACCATCTCAGCCACATTCCGAAACAAATGTAGAGAAGGAATCTGTCTCCGCTCCTAGAAAATAATTCGCATCGAAATCGGGTAACAATCTTAAAGAGAAAACTCTTTAATGGGCACATTAATTGCGCAATCGCTACGACGTTATGAATGTATGACGGTTCTTGCCAAAGAAGACCCCTATTGTTGCTGGTAATGATTCGTTAATATTGAGGAGATGAAATAGAACAAAAACTTTATTTTTGTATGTTTTTCTGGTCCCTTTATAAGCCACAATTATAATCCGATCATCACGAAAATTCACAGAGAATGAGCATAGAATAAACATGACTCTTCTCATTTAGCGGGCCAAATAATATAGTCCGAAGAAGTTGAGAGTTGGTTGACCTTTAAATTTATACCAATTATACTGTTGTATTACCACCCTAGAGGGCGGAAATGTCGTCGGTTATAATCAAAGACCACGGCTATAGTTTTCGATAGTGATCAGATGTAATATAGGGGCGGAAATAAACTAAAACGTTAGTTATGTCTGTTTTTCTAATAGCTCTAGATGCCTAACATCATAAATTTTACACCACGCTTGGAATATAGATCCGTAGATATTTAACGGTTAGTGGTAGTTGTCTGAACATAATCATTTCAAAAGGGGGCTTCCAAAAATAGATCTACTCTAATTTTGGTTGTCAAATTGTTGTTGAGCGTTTTTCATAAGTGCTAGAAAAAAGAGATGTCTATTAGCTGCTGTTCGAATTGTTTTTGGTGGACTGGCGACGGTGACAACGATTTAGGAATAATGAGATTGACATTTATGTGTCGTTAACACTTGATTAGATCAGCCGAAATCTCCAAAGCGAAAAACACATTTGCATACATTTTTAAAATAGCTTCATGTTGTGATATGCTCCTCCATAAATATTTATATGGATCTAGATGAATTTTCCAACCGTAATACCTGTAACTTTGAAGACTTTTGTTGAACTTCCATCCGAAACGATTGTAATCGTATAATCCTTGTCCTTATTTGATTTTGATAATTATCTCTAGTTCAACACAGCTTTAATTAACGACAGATTTACTTATTTAGTTTGATTGTTATCTCAAAACTTAGTCCCTCTTGGTCAATATTAATTCACTTTTATGTATATTTTAGGAATCATTTTTTGGCAATTTACTAATTAGGATCCATAACAGGAAAAATTTGCCCTCTATCCCTTGCAGAAGGATAATAAATAGAAAATATACCCTTATGAGTCCGTTAGATTAGTAAAATAGGTCTAATTATGCTTAAAAAGTCTAACAAAGCCATGTCTTTATAAATAGTCGCACACTGATTATGTACGCCTGAAAGTATGCTTAGAAAATTAACAGTAATGCTGCAGGGGCTTTGTAGTAACTGAACAACTCGGTCAATTTTTGGACAATTTAGAGCTAAAATATTATAAGTGAGTATATTGGAATATAAAATCGATGTTTGTTATATTCAAAATTTGCTTTTATAAATATTTTTTATTTGGAGGTAGTAAACCGTTTATTGTGATGTTTGGTAAATTAGTATATTATGTAGTTCGTATTTGAATATAACCCTATTCGAATCTGTAGATCTATTATATTACTAATTTTAATACCTCCTTCTCTTTTAAGGTGCTAAATGTGCTGCCTCATTTATGGAACGATGTATTATCTATATTGGCGAGAATGCCCGAGAGTGTGTTAAAACCAATGCTTTCCTAAACCTGAAAAAGGAAGCTCTTATCAAATTGATATCATCGGATTATGTGAGCAGACAAAACCTCTTTCAATATCTGATACAAGAATTCTAATAATAAAAATTTCCTCCTCATTTTTCCAGTTCTGTTTGGAGGAAGAAGATGTGTGGCGCTGCGTCTTGGCCTGGGCTAAAAATCAAGCTGGTGTCACTCAACCCTCCCATACCCATTGGACAGAGGAAGAACGTGCCCGGGTGTGTCAACATTTACAAGGTGTCATATGTCATGTACGTCTATTGCTAATCGATAGTCAAGTATTTGCCGAGGAGGTAGAACCGACGGGAGCTGTTCCCATGGAGCTATCATTGGAACGTTATCGCTATGCTGCTTTGCAAAATTCCAATAAAACGGCGACATATGCTGGAGGTGGTGGTGGAGGAGGGTCTGCTACAAATGGTGTTGGTAGTGCTTTTAATAGCTTATCGGGAAGTGGTTTAAATTTCTCGGGGAATAAAAGTGAAACAGATAAAAGGCTACAGCCTCGATTGATGGTTAACATGTTTCCCGGATCGCAGATACTAAGAAATGAAAAGCTGCATTTGCAAAGTGTTTTGAATAATTGGTAAGGGGAGAATTTTTTAAGAAGTCTTTATTAAATGTTGTTTTTTTAATTCTACAGGTTTGGTGCTCCGAAACAATCTTGGCGTTTGCTATATCGTGCCTCCACCCATGGCTTCAGTTCGAATGCATTTCATCGTTATTGTGACGGAGTGGCTCCT